TTTTTTCTTATCGATGAAATGTGTATTTCATTGACCTGTAATAAGTTTGCCCACTGATTTAAACAAGTTTTGACACCTGTGCTTATTGTAGGATAAATATTCCTGATACTGACTTTAAATAATCAAAGGAGAGATAACTCTGAAAATCCATCACTGCTACAAAGTGTATTATAGAATGGCAACTCTTATTGAGAACTTAAATATAACTTGTTAGACAGCTAATATTCAAGATGAAAAAAGTGAATAGAAATATATGTAAATCAAATATCCTTTCCTTGGCAATATATTTTTGTATTATCTTCTCTTTTTAGATGTAAGAGGTTTCACAAAATTTATGACGACAACCTCTGTCAAGACTTTGCAAGTAATTATGGTCTTAGTGCCACGTTTCATCACTATGCTATGATGGATTTGAAAAACCATACTTTGTAATGTAATGCTGTGTCAGAGTTGATTCCATCCCAAATGTCCAAATACAGAAAAGCTATACTTTGTAATGTGTCAGAGTCATCTCATTCCAAAACTCTAAGTACAGAAAGGTTATCACAACACAAGCCAAGTAGAATGCAATCACATATTTATGCCACTAGAATCGAAAACATTAATTCAAGATATCGAGCACTATGTCTGCTAGGGCGAGCATCTCAGGACAAATACTTTGGAATTACCATTTTCTTACTGCAAGAAGTCCCTGCCTAGTAATATTGATCTCCTTAAGTATATTATTGCTTGGAGAATTGTAGCTTGCTATTCTAATGCCCTGTAATGGGCCCACCCCATGATTTTAAATAAGAAGTCATGTATCGACCTTCTGTACTCATTGAAGGAAAAATATGGTAGATTTAAGAAGAAAAGAGGCCCTATCTAGTTTGTAAAATTTGGAAACAAATCTACTTGATGATCATGCAGACAGAAAAGTTATAGAGGTTCATTGTTCCGAGAGAAATGATTTAATAGGTCACTGGTAATGATCACAATGTCAAGGATGGTTGATATACATTAAAGAAATCAGATTGACCCAAGACTAAAAAAACTGATTTATTGTGAGAAAAAGACAGTTTTACATCTGTTCACATATATTTGGGTCAAATTCTCCATAAATCAAGAGTATGATGAAAGCCTATTAGTGTCCCATGTTAGATATTTGATAAGAATTGAAGGCTTAATATTTTCTCCACTGAACATCATATCGACATCATATGACTGGATTTATTTCCGGATAATTATGGGTTGAGCACCTTTTCATCATCATATAACACATAACACATTGACCTGAAGATCGCCAGTTATCCTAAACAGTAAAACAAAAATAGTGTTGATTTATTTAAATCAAATTTCATGAGTTGCATGTTTAATCGTACTAGAAAATATTGATATAATATAGATAAGCCCTCTCACTTGTCATTTATAATCAATATTTGACAACTTTCTTCGTAACAATGACCTTGACCTTGGAAAACTTAAACACAAAATAAATTGAAGTATTCCAACAATGTAGTCATTTGATCAAACTGGATGAGTGAGGTAGTCCTGCAAGAGAGGAAGTCATTAAAATAATGATAGCTTTCCATAAATAGAAAATTTTCTTTAACTTAACTTTGCTACCTCAAAACAAAGAGGCCAATAGGGCCTTTATCGCTCACCTGGATCATTAAAGCTCAGCAACGTTATGCATGCTTATAGGCTGGGTATTTCAAATATTTTCAAATTAAAGCTCAGCCTTTTTGATGGGGCAAAAGATGGGTAAATTCTTATATCAATACTGTCTTGCTCTGTTGATTCCCAGTTAGAGTTTATATGTTTATCAGGCTGGTATCACAACTATATCAAAAATATGACCCAGAAACAATATCCCTTGAGATGTGCCACACCCAAGGGTCAACTCTTACATAACAAATGTGTTTATCTCTTGTTGCCAAGCAATTCTATATAAACATGGTTATGGGGTGGAGATTTCAACTTTTTAAAAGATATCATCCAGAAATTAAGTCCAGAGTGTGAGGCCAGACCCAAGGGCCAGTTCTAACATTGTGAATGTGTTTGATGCCCTGCATTGCCATATATGGTTTAGGGGTGGGTATCTCAACTGTTTTAAATATATTATCATGAAACTGAGTCCTTAGGAGTGGGTCCAGACCCCAGAGTCAGTTCCTACATCATGGTTGTGTTTATTTCTTTATGCCCAGCAAAGCTGTATATGGTTATGTGATGGGGATACTAACTAATTTCAAACACATTTTCAATATTGAGTCCCTTGAGATCATTTGTAGATTTCCAATTAACCTGCAGAAAGGGATCATTTTTCCAATCTCCTAATGAATGTTGTTGAATAAGCAGTTGACCATTGTTACGTTGTATCAAACCTTTTAAAACACCCTTTGAAGCCAGGGCACTTATTATGGAACAATGATACAGCATTTGCTGGCATTTCACCTTGTTTGATTAAGTAATAAGTTGACTTGACAGCTAGAACACCACTGTCTGTATGTATATCTGCAGTACACTTCACAAAGATTGTAATTTTGTACAGAACAAAGCAGACACACTTTGATTATATTGCTTAATTACAAAAGTACAGAAGGTAGACAGACAAATGGACAAATTGGCAATTCTATTTCTCCCCAAAAAATTTTCAAGGAGCATAAAAAAACATTATGTTACTGCATAATTTTTGTAAAATACTGGACCAAATATTTCTTCATTTAAATACCACTTCCACAATTTTCGACAGCTGGGAACCTTGGTAGGATGTGTATGTCTCATGTTTGATCTCAGGAATGTTACCAGCCCTCAAACATTTACCAGACATTTTCTGGGTGGAGGTTAATATAGAAAAATACTAATTGGGACAATCGAGACTAAACAAGAAAGAGTTTAGTAAACGTGACCAAAATAATTTCATGGTGTGTTCCTGGGAAAATGCCATTGAGAACAATCACAATGACAGCGCTGAGCTATTATGATCACAGCTTGTCCCTGGACATGAATAATCCCTAACAAATGATCGTAGTGACTGACTAGAGAGATTGTAAATAGCACTCAAATTACACCAGTTTTATACTTCATGGTAACCCTCAGTTAACTGAATAATTCAGATCAATGTATCTTCTTATAATTCTTAATCTAAAATGCTTAAAAAGGCTGATGGCTTGATTTACAAAATAATATATTTATCTCCGGCTGGAAAAATTTCAAAAATTCATAAGACAAAAACATATATCTTGTGTGACCTAGATATGGATGTCCAAATTCTGCTTAATTTCGGTCAACAGACACCAGATGACTAAAGAAAGATGACCATTGACCAACAAAATTTACTGTCGTAGAATAATTATCTATGTAATCAAGAGGACAATAAACTGCTCCAAACCATATCATCCCAAATTAATTTCAGCCATGACTCTGGATATCAAGCTCAGCCTTGACACTGATTACTAAATTTATCTATCAATCAACTAAGTCTATTCAAGGTAATAAGCCAACTCACATCCAATTCTAGCAGATAATTTTGTGTGATACTACAACACGGCTTAACACAAGACAAATGTCTGCAGAGTTTTGTTCCGTTTGTTTGTTTGTTTGTTTTTTTTTTTTGATTTATAAAATCCATTTTCCTTTTTCATGTCTTTATTAACATTTTGTCTCTTTGAACTTTGGCCATAATCAAGAAATTAAATTCAAGTAACTAACATTATGAGGGTATTTGAAAACAATCAAATGAAATCAAATTTTGTTTAAAATTCTCTAGGTCAAATTTGTCCAAAAATAGTCCCTGAAATACTTCAATAATCCAAGTTAAATCATCCATCTGAAAGTTAAAAAACAAAACAGTGTTTCATGAGAACCAATTCAAAGTCATTCCCATAGGGTAAAATAATCTGTTTTTCAAATTCAAATGCTCAATGCTGAAATGTCCTCGCCAGGATTGCTCTGACAGGTTTAGTGTCTCGTTTCTTAATATGGGACCCGAAGGATTTTATTTTCAACCAATCAGTGTGAATCATGGTCTCTTCTGCTTCAATTTTTTGAAAAGGGCTCAGTTGGTGAAATATTTTATGATGTCATTGCCTTCAGTTCTAGACAAGGATGACAGTTTGGCATTGTCAATAAGTTAATATTTTTTCTGTCCTGCATTGTCTACAATTAATTCTAAAATTCTGGATAGTTTAAAACATACTGGTTATGCATCAGGCAAAACCTATGACCTTGATAAAGTACTGCCTTGACTTGAGTACAATACATGGCCACATATTACTGACGATGAACCCATGAGGCCTCATCTTCAGAATGTAGGCAAAAGAGGTAATTTGGGGTTAATTCCCAAATTTGACAACACTATAAACCACAGCACTGATAGGTTGACAGGAGCCCATGAGTGTATTAAGGCATTAAGTAGCAGACTAGTTCCATCAGATGTATCGAAGCTGGTCAGGAGAGACATCAAAAAATCAATGGAAAAGAACCTGTTTTCTGTACAAGTGTATAAATCATAGCCCATGAACTGTAAGATCTTCTTCAGCTATCAACTAACTAATAAAATCAATATATAACTTTTCTGTAATCAAGCAAAAATTGTATTTGAGTTCAAATTCCTAAAAGTATTACTCAATAGTAATCAGCTTGCAAAAGACAGAGTTTGAGACATCAGGTGTAAACCTGTAAGTGATATCTGTTTTAGTATACAAACTAAAAGGGTAGGCAAAAACATGAAAAGCAGAAAGCATAACAAAAGTATCACGGTGCAGGGTTTCCACATGAATTCAGTTGAGATATGAAACTTTGGCCGATGGAAACAAAATCTGAATTTGTAACAACTGGATGTGTCAATGAGGCAAGAAGACTATATCCACTTTTCATTTCAGTAATAATTGCAATAACTTTAGTATGCAAATACAGTACCTACACCCATCTTTGTATCAGTCCATTTCCTGAAGGCTTAAGTGGCATTATTCTATAACATTCCACTACAGTAAGACAAGGTTGATCGCTCTCGCTCATACCTTTTTTGCAAAAATTTCCAGAATCGTGTAGTTCAAGGGCCATAACTCTGGAAAATAAGTTAACCATAACCCACAAAGAACTTTATCTGCAATAGATTTCTCATTATACAACTCTATATCTTTTTTTTTCTCAAAATTTCCATCTGAGAGTAATTGAAAAGAATCAGATTATGAAGGAATGTCACAGATTGATAGCCATGGCTACACTATATGCGGAGGCATAATCTAAACCATGAACAGATATATGAAAGAAAAAAAATTGAAATGCTGAATGAGATATCCACAGATTAGTTAAATAAGATATCTTTCAGGGAGCAAAAAAATTAAGTACATCTATATCGTTTGTCAGAGGATGGAATCGCAGTCCTTGACACATATCAGGTAGGCGTGGTTAGTTGGTCAAATACATCATATGGAGAGACTAGGTCAATCCAAATGTCTTGTAATCAAGTTCCTTGTGAAATGGAATTTTTTGATGCCATGTACATAGTGAAACACCTCTTTGGATTAGTATAATCAGCAATCTTCTGGTCATTTGGGACTGCTATATTGGAAAAAAGGCTGAGACTTTTACAGCGAAAAGATACTTTGATCCCCTGTACAATTCAAATTGAGCTATCCTAATTTTTTTTCTCTTTACAATGTTTAGAGATCGTATAAAAAGTATGACTACAATAACATCATCTGACTTTTGTGAACTATTTCTGACAGTAAGATTTATTCCTAAAGGGCTCACAATGAGCTTTCACCATAATGCTTTGTCTTTAAATCCTCTTAAACAATGAGTCAGTCTTAAGCCAAACTGTCCAATAAACAAATACTTAAAATACTTATTACATCAACTGATCACCAAGTGTTGTCAACTATCATTTCCTAAGTCTGTCCTGAAATATGTCCACTAGAGTGACCACAAACCCTTGCCTGTAAAATTGTAAATTGGGAAATGGACCTTGACTACATTAAAATGTTACAGAAAATCACAGACGAAAACAAAGAAAAAAAAGATGTGATAAAAACTGAAATTCTTTTTCTATGTCATATCTACAGTATAAAAGTCGGTTGAATGAGGAATTGTTCAAAATCATATTTTAGAAATACCAACACACATCAATAACTTGTCTTGGAATTCCGTTTTGTTGCCTAAAGAAACAAGACATTTTGAGATACATCCCATTCAAAACAATTTGCTTTTTTTTTCTTAGTGTACTGCAGTGAAAATTGAAATGGTAAATTACCTGTCACTTCAATATGCTTACATCACAGCGCAATTCCATGACAAGCGTCATCTGCTTCTAACAACAAAATTAACCGAAACAAAAGGCCCAATGGACCTGCAGTCCTCACCTGGTATATATCTAATTTTTCAAAATTCCTTTAAAAAGTGGGTATTAAAATTCATTATGAACAATGAACAAACACAAGGTAATTGGGCCTTAATGGTAATCTGAGAATAAAGGTGGCTAGAAGTTATGTAATATACACACTTAGTAGCAGTATGTTTTTTACACTTTACTTACTCATCGTTATCAATTCAAATCAACAAATAAAATAATCCTTACTTCATGCCTTATTAACAAAATTCAAAATTTGATGAGGATATGTGGACAGGTATACTTCATCTTCAGAAGAAATAAAAAGTTTTATTTTCAAGAATGCGCTCTATTGTGTTTAAGAGAAAAACTAGGTAAAAAATGACAAAATTTGTCAGGTGAGCTAACAAATCATTACTTCTACCTGCTGATAATTCATGTGCTCAATGGACCCTACAGACCTAAAAAGTAAGATACTTTCAGTTTTGAAAAGGAAAAAAAAAGACATCTGGTAAACAATAAACATATCTGCTTATTAAGCAATATATAGGACCACTTTGACTTTGAAAGCAGGTCAAATCAGCAAACTTTGTTTGATCCTTATAAGAAAGCTTTTAACCAGTCCAATATCAAGTCTGTAGGCCATTTTGTTTTTTATCTGAAGAAGTTTCAAGCTTTTAACATGCTTTATTCTTGTGATCTGGAAAGAATGTCAAGGTCATTTTTATAAGCAAACTTTGTCTGGCCTCTTCCAAGGAAGCTACAAGTCCAAAATCTGATCTTTTAGTCTTTCTGTATTTCAGCAAAAAAATTTTTAACATATTTTACCTTATTATTATTACTATCATAGTTATTTTATTCATAAATTTTTGCATGAGTCCATATTTCAATAAGGACTATCTGTGGACCATTATACATAAGTCATGAGTGAATGTTTTGTCTCAATACAACTTCTGTTCAAGTGAGGTAGATAATAAGATTTTCAATATGGCAGCAATGGTGGCCATCTTGAATTTTGCATGAGTATGAATTTCAGTTAGACCAGTAGGACCATCTGTAGGAATAACATCATATATCATTTTCATTCCCAAAGGATTAGTGATAAGAAGATTTTTTTCAAGACCGATGCAATGGTGGTTATCCTGCATGTGACACAGGATTTAATTGAGGACCACTTAGGGACCATATCCTTCTTAACAATAGGGATTCTACAATCATCCAATCACAAGTCATCAAACAAGATGATGCTATAAACAGATGGACACTGGAGACCAATAATGTGCTATGACACAAGCTGCTTTGACCTATGACCAAAAGAGCTAAAAAACAAAACAAATCTATGACCAAACCAATTTTCCTGAAATATTTTCAGCATAGAATGTCAGCAAATATCATTCACACATTATTTATAAATGATGATGTTTACGTGGGTGTGACCTTTGGTGTGTCTGTACTGATGAAGGACCAAGAAGTATGAAAATGCTTCATTTCTGTACCAGACCACTTTAGAGCCTGAATGTGATCACGGTCAATAGGAGGTTTCCATTAACTTTGTTTATTTCCCATCAGCCAGCTTATATTTGTTATCATGACAAGAGTTTGTGTGATTTGGTTTTTCATGAACAAAGTTGTCACTCTTACCTTAAACGATACGGACATAAGTACATTTGACATTGGTTTTCAGTAAGCGCAATCTGAAGGACCAGCAGTTCACCAATCCCGTTCACAATTCCCAGAAGGGATCTGCAAGTGGAAATAAAAGGAGATAATTTGGTTAGTCTGTTTGTATCGCTTCATAAATCATACAAAACGTGTTTTTTCCTGGTTTGCCGATGGTCAATTACAGCAAGCAGATATTATTGACCAATACTAGGGATTGAATGGCCGATAAAAAAAAGAATCAGTTTAGAAGCAGGAAACCTGACATACACAATGTACAAGTTTCCTCTACGAGAATAGACAAATGTAATGATCTGACAAACAACAAAGATGAAGCAACATCTGACATTTTGAAAATATAACAGAAAAAATCAGGGCTCTTATGTTTGCTTACTTTCAATAGAACAACTGATAATTTTGGTGTCTAAATTTGCAGTATTCAAAGCCAGCTACCTTATATCTTATAAAAAAAAATAAAGAGTATTTGGAGACAGCTACTTACTTTTACAAGTTTGCAAATGTACAGAAATATGATAATTATACACAGTTATATGTTTTTTCTGTCTTGTTCTGTTGATAGCTTTTAAGCAAAACCCAAAAAACACTAAAATTCATGTTTCCCCCTTCTCTATACCTACTCAAAAATATAAAAATGTTCAAGTTGATTCTGATTAATAACATATAAACATAGTATATATGTTGCATACATAAGACTTGCATCTTTGTAGCAAGACATCTTATAACCTCAAAATTGTTAAGTGAAATGTTGACAACAAAACAATTGCCACCGGAAAACTAACACCATAATATTCTGCAACTTCTCCACGCAAGATTAAAAAGTAACAAAGGGAAATAACTCATTCTGGAAAAAATTAATAGATAGGTTTCCTTAAATTTTCAAGTGAAGAATACACCAAAAATTCAAACTAATAAATCAATGAAAATAAGTGTTCATTTTCCTGTCTATAAATTTTATCTGGGTCATCAAATCATTAAAGAAATAATGTAAATAAATAAAAATAATAAGAAAACAAACATTACAAGAAGGCTATTTATTTTGTTAAACACTTTTCTACAGTTAAACCTACCAGCAGACTTTAAGCTTGTACAAAACCTTTCACACATCTACACGATAAAGATGCTGGTAAACACTAGGGAAATTTTACATGAAAGCGATCTAAACACTGTACAGTAATCACAATATTTTACGAGGCATTCATCTGTGAGAACGGAAAGAAGAAAAAACATAAATTAAATTAAATCTTTATTCTTTAAAATCATCATCACTGGTACCACCATCATGGGTTTCCGAGGAGAGTCATATCCTGATAGAATCTATCGACCTCTAACAGGGTGGGAAACTACATTTCATTCTTGTAATTGTTGTAACTCGAAAATGCTTTCAAAAATAATTTGTTTTGTATCGTGTTATTCTGATTTTCTCTTATAATTTGATCAATAACTATTAATACTGCTGATTTAACACCTGCGTTCTCGGATACACACAAATTTATGGTTCACCATCCTTCAGATTCCTAACAATTTGGTTTTTATTTGTTTTTTCTTTTGTGCATGCTTGATTGCTATGGCAACATGCACACAGATCTAACTAACCAATTACATAGACAGTTTTTAAAATGGCTATTTAATTAAAGAATAATTATCAAGACTGACCTATATATTCCATGATGTAATGAGCTGTAAGCAACATCTGAATATTTATGAAGCAACTTTAACAACTTTAACAGAAGATCTGAGGTGTTTGAGACAGACAAAATCATGCATGGCCAGTTACATTATTTTGGAAACCGAGATCACAAACTGTCCTGTATAGTAATACTTTACCATAATTGCTCTGATATATAAAATGAAATGGAAGATTACAAAAGACTTTACCAAGTTTCCGCCTTCTCTGTCCAATTTTTGAATTTTTAAGTATTCAGATAAAGTACAAGAACAATTTATTGATAGCCTGTTCTAAAGAGTCAAAAATACAAGTTTGAAGTTAGGTGTATCATTTACTAGAGCTAATCAGTACATACTGTTAATAGTATCATCTGAAAGTTAATACTTAACAGGAGAATACTTATGTGAAGTGTTTCTCAGTATGACATGTTCATGTTTATCTATTTCAAGCAATTAATCATGAACTCTCTCGTGCTGACACTGGTGGAGTTAGGGTCAAGATAATAGCACTCTGAGCAGAGTGCAAGTTAATGAGATTTTCAGAAAAATGGCAAATAATGGTCTTAGTTGCAGGAAAAAAAGAAAGAAATATTCAGGGAGGGAAAACTTCTCCTGGATAATTTTTAACAACGAAACACCTAAATACCTCTGATATGTCAGTGACCGAAGTATAAAGATTTGATTTCCTTCCAAAGGAAAGAAAATCTCTGCAACATATATTGAATCAGTGATAATGGCAAATTACACACACAAGATAGTCTCAATTGTATTCATATACCATGTCAAGACAAAAGTAGCATGAAAGCTTAGTGAAATTCCCATTACTCTTAAAGATTTCAACTATATGAGAATCTGTGTTCAAATGAAATTTACATTGATGTATTGTAAATCTGAAAATACTGACAATAATGATGCTATCAAATCCTGAAATTCTATAAAGGAAGAAGAAAAACACAGAAATTATATTCAGACAAGGTGACATATCCTCGTAAAAATCCTACAAATTTGTACCCCACAGCCACCATTAGGTTTACCTGGCAGAGGGTACTTGGTTCAGGAGTCCGTTGAGAATGAACAGGATGTCAGCGTTTCCATCAGTTACCAAACGCACCAACACCTGACAGGCAGATCGAGCAAGGATAGGTATCTCATCACCACATTTTTCCCACAGAAGTTTAATCTCCACAAACTGAAAGGACAATACTCAATGAAAATCATTTCAATTTTGTCACAAAATATTTAAGAGGCCTAATTAGCTTGCAGTAATCACTTAAGACTGTTTTTGTACAATTTGTTTGCAGACTAGATGACATCTGGATTATTGTCCAATAATTTCTATGACCTGTTTTAGAATCCTGATGCCATGATCAATAAATATTTACCAAATCCCATCATTGTTAAAAGAATCTTGAAGCTTCTTAACTAATGTTCTAACTTCTGTTAGACATACTCAACCATTACATTATGATTTTGGGTTTTACAGTTTTTAAGAAGAAGTTTTCAATGAAAAATGCTTTTTTAATATTTATCCTTTTCAGGGAACTCAATACATTGATATTTAAACAGAAAGAGTGTTATTTTGTTTGATCTAATCTTAGCCAGTCTATAAATCATTCTTTTAAAGACCTTGAACTCCAAGCAAAACAATATATAACTTCTCCAAGCTATAAAATACTGAATCTTTCATTGCCAATTTGATATGAAGCGAACTACTGCTTCCCTCAGTTTTACGACATAAGGTATAATTTCATTGCTTTTTCAGATTTTATTGGATTTTTATAACAGGAAGCAAACAATTATCAAAATACACATCCCCACCATAAAAAATTCTGCACAATTTACTAAGACATGCCTGAAGCATCTATGAAAATATCTTCTGAATTCTTTTTTAAAATCCGTATTAAATGAGCATTCAATGACAGAATCACTGAGGCTAATCTTATTTGCTTTTTTGTGATACAATCATAGATTGGTTTGAATCATAATAACCATTGCAATTATTGATTATTTTTTGTTAATTTTCTCCTTTATCTTTAATGCTAAACACAGATTGGTTACGTTGATAGTGTTGATTCAATTTAAATCACATCTTTCAGAAATTTCAATTTAGCTTTCGAATGAATGATTCAGAAACTTAAACAAACCTCTGGAGTCTTGGAGTCAATTCGTCCAAGTGTGGCTGTTTTCTTTGTAACTTCATTATAGAGTCTCCAAATGGCCTGCAAGTAAAATAAATCAAATTTTATTCAACCAAAAACTTGTCTTACCAATGGCATAGCATGAATAGAAAAATCTGTAGCATCACTTGATTTTTAATGAATTCAAATTTGTGGCATATTTAAAAAATAAAAAAAAAACCTATATATTCTTGACTTTGAATAACATTATTCATGAATCATTCACTAACATTTATGACACTATGAATTCCATCTCGCAAGGTATAAATGTCCTTGAGTAAGTAGAGTCAAACTTCAATGTTCAAGGGACCAATACAATAACTTTGAGTTATTGATGCTTAAATCATTCGTAGTGGGTTATATCCACGTTTTCATGTTCATGATCATTGTTGATGACACAATATTTCTACCTGAACAAACATACCAAGATACAAGCTTGAATACAAAGAGACATTTTTTTATTTATAGAACAATTTCATTTCAGTAATAATTACCATAACTTTAGTATGCATATATGGTACCTACACCTATCTTTGTTTCCAAAAGACAAAAGACTCAAAAATCCTGCGCTCCCTACAGTCCCATGAGCCATCACAGCAGAGACAGGGTATCTCCCTTCCTCTTTCCTTTATTACACCTATGTGACCTGACATTGTCAGCTGAGTTCCTGATAGTTGTTTTCGGTTCACTCATTTATTTCTTTGTCGGCTTTGTTTGCGGCCTTTTTTTATTGCTTCAGCTATGTTGGTTCCCTTTGTTTTCATTGTTCATTTGTGTAAAGGTTTAGTTAATTTTTTATCCAAAAATTTATTTACTTTGTTGCAATTTTTCATAATTGTCATAAGTATGTCTAGGGCTGGTTTGCATCAGGGTACGGCTCACGGGTGCTCCAATTGCCTAGAGGAACGGGACTCCCATGATGCCTACACTCTGTCCTTGAAGTGAGACTTCGCTGTGTGGAATCTCTCGTCAAGACCCCGAGCCTGCTCAGCAAGACTCTTCTGGTCGTAGGATTCGTCCTCTTCTTCCTGCAGGAGAAGCAGCCTGCTATGTCTTCCTGCACTTTCATCTGTAGCGTAAGTGATCAAGAAGGACGTGTTTCCGGTCGTGAGTAGGTATGATGGGCAGGTAGAGGGGCTCCCTACAGGGGGTTATTGGGTTCTCTTTTTTCCTTTATATTATATACAAATGAATGATTAGATTCCCAGAATGGATGTGAACAGGTTTGAAATCATTTGTCTGACCACTAGGTTTTTCCTCGGTATTTTATAAATTTATATATATATATATCTTTGATATTTTCCTTCAGGTAATCCCAGAGGCAGTTTAAACTATGTTCTTTAACTGTAAGAAGGAGAGGCAATGGGATTTATTCAAGACAAGAGGTCCAGAGGGCCTGTATCGCTCACCTGGATACTTAAATCAATATTGCAAAACTTTGCATTTCTTTAAAAGGAAAATATTTCTCCTAATGAGCCTCACCCCACAGATACAGATTAAAACAACTGATAACATTTAATAATTGTTTTTTTCACAGAATTTTTCATCTTTCCAAGGGTTGAAAAATCAACAAACAGTTACTGACTGCAGTTCATCCTTGAAACACAGATGTATGGTACCATGCTATAGTAACCTTGATATTTCAGTGTGTCTAAGTTTAAATGTCAAGTTTGGCTATAGGAACCTAACCAGAAAATTATAGTTTTAATATTAATAAAACATAAAATTTATTCTGTTGTCAAATAGGTACGAATAATAACCTTGTTAAATTTGACAGAAAAAAGAAATGTTAAAAGTTGAATACATGTCAGAATGCGTGGTCCCTGGCACGCTCCGTGATTAAATCAATCAGTCTAACTTACAGCCATGGCAGGCTTCCTTTTGAGTAGTTGCTGCCATGACTTGAGGAAGTCTCGATTGATATATACCATACAAATCACAGGAAGGTCGACTCATATCAAGTCAGCTACTTCCTGTTGTGCTTATATACGAGCCTGGAAGATTAGTTTATGATGTCACTGTGGATACTAAGGATTGTTTGTTCCTGACACGAAAGGTCTTCACTCTGGGAGTGAAAAAACTTCAGACATCTTAACAAATTTGAAAACAATAACATTGTTCTGGCGTCATTTCCTTGTTTTATCAGATATTTTCACGGTAACTAATCACTCTTTTAAAGATGGAAAATCAATTCTGATATTCCTTTTCAGTCAATGAACTTAAATTGTTTGCTATTTCAACAGATAGGGTTTTAAGGGACATCCCCCAGGACAAATCGAAGTGTCTTTATTGGTTTCAATGAGCTTTTTCATTATGTAGTAAAAGGAAACTTATTTTCAACAACAGACACAAAGGCAATAGCACTTACTCCAGTTCTATAAAAGCTTTCGTGTTTGTTGTTGTTACAGAGATTAAAAAGAAAATTTTTTTAACAAAATAAGATAACTTAATTTACATTGTACATTTAACTCAAATGTCAAATGGGCATCAAAACAAATTGTAATCCTATGTTAACAAGAGGCCTAGCGACCTTGACGATCACCTGAGATAAAAGGTTAAAGAATGGTTAAAGAATAGTTATCAAGCGCTTGAAACAGAAATTGTGACACTGAATATAGACAGTGTCAATACATGCATTCCATCAAAACTGTCATCCTGTACTGATAATTCTTATAAAGTTATTTCCAGTGGGAAATAACCAACATTATGCTCAAAAATACTATTTTTCTATGAAAATTACAATAAAGTCTAAAAAATATATTCCTCCCCAGGAAGAAAGGTGAGACTCATTTTGGTAATTAAAGCACCTTAACATTCTTCCATTCATGAAGAGCATTTGATTATACTATATCTGGCTCTTGAGAAGAAGATTTTTGAAATCTGAGTCAATTTGACCCCTTTCGGCCCTGCCCCTCAGGTCCCTTGGAAGATTTCTGCAACATTTCATTGAAATTGGATCAGGGGTTTTTGAGAAGAAGTTGAAAGTGTTAAATTGTTTACGGACACACAAGTACGACCCTAGATGAGGGGTATTAGAATCGGTCACCACGAGACGCTGTCTCAGGTGACCTAATAAATCTAATTAAGTTTGAATCATTTCATATTGAAATTACAAAAATGATATGCTAAAAACTATAAGTTTCCTTTATATACTATAGTAAAATTCCCTCCCTCCCCCTGGGGCAAAATGTGTAACTATAGGGTCATGAAATTCTAAATTTTGAAAAAGTACCTTCAGACCCTTCCATTTATAAAGAGTAACTGACTACCATATCTGGGTCTTGAAAAAAAAATTTTTTTTTTAAAGATATGCAACAGTCTGACCCCTTTTGACCCTGCCCATCTGCCCCTAGGATTTAACCAGAGTCAATATGTTCAAATCATCATTCAACTCAAGGCATATACACTTGTTTATTTCTCCATTATAAATCAGTCAAACTGGTTAGATTTATAAGTGTATATGCCTTGTAAATTGTAAAGAGGTAATAGTTGTATATAAAGTTTGTTCCCTCCCCAAGCAGCAATGTGAGAATCTATGGTCACGTAACTCAACCTTGTGGCAGAGCACCGTAAGATATGTCCCTTCCCCCCATGAAGAACATAGCTGATTTTACCACAACCGAGTCTTAAAAACTGCGACCCTTTGGTTGCAGGGCCCCAATCCTCTGGTCCCTGCAACCATAAAATGAACATTCCTGGTTCACCCTTTTGACCATGGAATGTTTCTGCAAAAGTTTGTGCAGAGATCATTGAGAAAAAGTGTTAATTGCTTATGGATGGACAATGCACAATGTTCATCTCGGGTGATCTAAAAATAGAATTCACAATTACCATGGTACAATTGTTTATAGTCAAAACCACGTGTTGTCACAAAGATAGTCTTAAACACAGTGGAATATTCTAGAAATGAAAAGATGTCAAATACATGTCCTTCCAAATAAACTGACTAGTCCTTGTAATATCCTACAAAACTTCAAATACGCAAGAGTCACAGAACCACTGCATTTCAAAAGTCAAATTATGTTTTGAAATCAATATGCCAATTAACTGATGAAAGATTCTTCAAATAAATGTTTTGAACTTTTGGATAGTAAGAATTGTTTGAAAGTCTTGATCTCACAAAGTGATTTTTGAACATTAGCCAATTGTTTGAAATGTATCTCACAAAACAAGTATGTTTTAAAATTAAGGTTGTAAGATGTCCACCAGTTGACATTTTCATCAAAGAAAGAGAACCAGCTGCTCCTGGTAGCTAAATACAACCTCCATCTGATACAGAACAAACATGCTTCATTGAGGCCGAATAAAAGTGATGCCATCTAAACCAATCATAGTGTCACCATGGTGAGAACTTTTTCAGTCTGGAAAGAAATATCAAAGTAAATGTAAAATTTACAAAATATAACTTCCTTTGTCCCTGATTGAAATATCCGAAAGGATAGAACACTGGCTCAAACAATTTGTTCATTATTCCGCTTCAAGGTTGAATGTGGTGCTTATAATAATGTATGTTAACATGGTGTGGCCTGACATCCATGAATCAGTTCCACAATGTGTTTTCTCAGTGTCACGTTTAAAGTAGTCCCTTGGAGACCTGGTGACATTTGTCTCGCTGTTAAGTGGTAGAAATACCGATGGTCACCCATCCCACTGATGTGTAAATTACCCAAATCAGGTTATATCATGGTAACTAAAGAAGTCACTTATTACAAGAAATCAAATTTTGACTGTTGCATGTCGCAAAAAATATCATAATAAAAGAGCTTTAGAGAGATGAAATGTGCCCATCATCATCTTTACTAGGTTTTTAAATCAAATTGTCTCTTCTCGTCTATTCATTTCTAAAATCTTCTGAGCATTGCTCAGTATACCAAATATAAAAGATAAGAAGGAACAAAGGGAAATCTACATACATGAGCAATAATCCTCCCAGTACAGTAAATAGTATAACTTAATTATCAAACTCCAAGATGGCCACCTGGCAGCCATTTTGTTTTTCTGATCAGTCTAAATATGGAAAATGCACAACAATGTACCATTATGGAAATTTCCAGTTCAATTTGAGAATGATCCATTTCGTATATATAAAGCAAAAGAAGAATTGAAGGATAAACAGACAACAGATGTGCGACATATTTAGAGTTATTTGAACAGCCCATCATCTAATGACACAGAAAATTAGAATTACAATTTGATCACAAAATTCTTATTATTTCCCTGATGACTCATTAAGGCAGGAAAAAAGAGTAAACACACAGACTTCCATCCTCACAAATGAATACCCATTGTTCAGTCTCAAATAACAAAAACACTAAATACACATCTTTACAGAATACACAGGATTAACATTACAAACCTGAAGAAAATGTTCTGAAACACACAGGGTTCAGTCTAGACTTGTTGAGATATCATATTGTAACTGAATTACAAAGATGTGATCTAAAACTAGCCTGACACATATAAGTAAAAAATGATTTTGAGTTAAGAAATCAAGAGATTTTGCTAGTCATATATCATTATAAATGATAAATTCTGTTTTTGCAGAGGCTAACAAAACAACTACAAGATGTCTAATCACATTTGACCTTCCTTCCTGATTGATATGTAAAGAAACTGAGACACTGTTACAAAGACCACTATCAACAAACACAGAAATCTGTCCATGCTTCCGCAAAAACCCATCACTCACACCTCAAATGAACTGTCATATCTGGCTCCAGACTGGCGTCTTGACAGGAGTGTTAAGTAGTCTTACATTTCAAACACATTTGTCCTCCATAAACACTAATCAGGGTTAAAATTCAGCTTGTTTGTATTCAGAGGAAATGACAAATGTTTTCTTGTCATGCATGTAGTGGTCGTGTGTCACTTACAGAAGCAAGAGAGTTAAAGTGAGCTTATAAAAACCTCTTTTCCTGCCAGGGAAGTTCTCTGTGCTTATTTTGGGAAATGCAATCTAATTTGATTATTGAGCTGAGAAAAAGCGGTTGTATGTATTCAACAAGACTTTCCTTGTCCTACTGCTTGTTCCTAGAATGCTGCATTTTATAAAATTCAATTTAAACTGTAAAAGGTGAAGGTCGGTGTGGCCTGTGTATGGTGTTGAATATGGTCTTAGTCACTCAGCTGACAGAGCATGTTTATTTGGCTAGATTAGTAGAGTCAGTTGATTATCACGCCAGAGATCTGGGTTCAATTCCTTGTCCAGGAACTCCACAGGAATGTGTGTTTTCCCTGTTCTTTCAAAATATCATAAAAGATGTATCAATAAAGTATTATATTAATATCAATGAACAATCGACAAATTGAATTGATTGGTCAGAAAACAATGTCAAACATACAGCTTGAAATATACCTTGAGGAAGGGGGGAAAATATAAAATGAAATGTACATCAAACATAATATAAATTTAATGTTTTATGACTTGAGGCCAAAACAAACCCAAGATATGTTTAAATCTTTATCATTTCTCAGCTAGATTTGACAACTAAGTTCAAACAAGCAGTTGAAGTATTCATAAATGAAACCAAAAAGAGTTTTGAATAATTTCGCATCACCTATCTGATGACCGAAGATACATACAGTTCTTAAGAAGAAAAATTGTTGAAAGAAAGTTGGATAAATAGATGATGAACAGAAGACCTAGTTAGATGATCATTATGTTAATGCTATTTCTTCCTGTGGACTTTTCAGTGATTTTTCTGCTTTAATTTGTTTTGTAAAAAAAATGCCATTCTTCCACAAGTGGATCATCTTACTTTGCATTTCTTATTTTTCTCTTCATGCAATAAGGAACCTGAAGATTTCCATTTTATTTATCCATTTTCTCCAGAAAATTTATTTCATATTTCTAAAAGTTAATCTACACAAGATGAATCAATCATCAACATCATCATCAT